ATTCCATGCTAGTGGACATTTTTATAGGATAACCAAATATATATATGAAACGTTACTATGATTATCTGTACACGCCAATATGCAGAGAATATTGTTTTGCGTAAAGGAAGAGATAAGATTTAATCGTCTGACTCAATTTATTTCAATCACGCGCCTTTTTATATAGTTACAAATATTTACATAATTCCTAACAGCGTAAAATTTACATCTACTAATAATTTATAAGCAGAATGTGACATATATGTATTTGGATTAGGTCTTATTTTCTTTTTATTATAATCTATAATCCAAATTGTGCTTTATCATGAAAAAACAAGGTAAAAAGACCAAATCTAAATAAATAAATGGTGTGTGACGTTTCAAATGTTATTTGGATTTGGTCTTATTACCTTGTGTTTATAATCTAAATTGTGCATTATCAGGTTGAATATATAAAAAAATTTAAAAACATGGTAATAAGACCATATCCAAATAAAATTTGTCTTATTAACCTTTTGTTTCTGATCTATAACACAAATTGTACCTCAGATTGGACCTTTGGTAGTAAACAGCTTTTACTGTAAGTGAACCATATGTCTACATATGCTTTTGTGCTTAGAAATTACCCCTTTTTGGTTACTTGCACTCACTGGTGTGGTGGGATTAGATTTTGTCATAAATAGGGTCCATTGCCTTTTTTTTTTGTCCAGAAAAAGTATCAAATGTGGAATGCAAATTTTGGGTATTGTTACCACTTTTGCCTAACTCATTGTTTGTATTACTATAAAGAAAATAAGTTCTAATCCAAATAATTTATTAATGTGTGACATTTCAGCAACAGCATTGTCACCATCATCGGACGCGAAAGAATTATTATTATATTATATTACATATTATATCTTATATTATTCTCATATATATAAGAATTATTCTTTTGTCTGATGATGGTGACAATGCTGTTGCTGAAATGTCACACATTAATAAATCATTTGGATTAGGTCTTATTTTCTTTTATTATAATCTATAATCCGAATTGTGCTTTATCATGTTTGTATTACTGATTGAACATTATCTTCTGTTGGGTTATGTAATAATATAGTATGTTAATAAGATGATAAAGCACCATTTAGATTATAGCTACAAGAAAATTGAAACCTATCAAAAATGATAAAAGCACAATTTGGATTATTGATTGTAAAACGAAAATTAAAATTATACCGCGAATGTTTCTTTTAAAAATCGAAATTTATTTTCAAAGAGAAATAGCGACATTTCTAACTTTGAGGATGAGGTATGGAAAGGTGAAACATGAAGAGTAATGGAGAACGGAAAAATAAAAAGTGTCCAGGGGCGGGAATCGAACCCACACCCTTCTGCTTACCGGGCAGGTGCCTTGTCCATTCGCGGTATAATTTTAATTTTCGTTTTACAATCATCAGCCGCGTTATATTGTATTTTAAAAATGTTACTTTAAATATAAGTTATGAACGGAAAAATACGTCCAGGGTAGCCGAGTGGACAAGGCACCTGCCCGGTAAGCAGAAGGGTGTGGGTTCGATTCCCGCCCCTGGACACTTTTTATTTTTCCGTTCTCCATTACTCTTCATGTTTCACCTTTCATACCTCATCCTCAAAGTTAGAAATGTCGCTATTTCTCTTTGAAAATAAATTTCGATTTTTAAAAGAAACATTCGCGGTATAATTTTAATTTTCGTTTTACAATCATCAGCCGCGTTATATTGTATTTTAAAAATGTTACTTTAAATATAAGTTATGAACGGAAAAATACGTCCAGGGTAGCCGAGTGGACAAGGCACCTGCCCGGTAAGCAGAAGGGTGTGGGTTCGATTCCCGCCCCTGGACACTTTTTATTTTTCCGTTCTCCATTACTCTTCATGTTTCACCTTTCCATACCTCATCCTCAAAGTTAGAAATGTCGCTATTTCTCTTTGAAAATAAATTTCGATTTTTAAAAGAAACATTCGCGGTATAATTTTAATTTTCGTTTTATAATCATCAGCCGCGTTATATTGTATTTTAAAAATATTATTGATTATGTTGGATTAGGTCTTGTAGCTATGCTAATATGTTTACAACTCCCTCTATACATTTAAAAGCTCAATTCTGATTGGCTAATTAGCAGTTGAACATGAAACCTAATATTAATTGATTTATGACCATTTGATAAAGCACAATTTGGATTACAGATATGCCTCTAATTATATATATATTTTAAATCCACTTTTAATTCTAAGAAGAATATTTCAAATTGTCTTTAAAAAAAACTATTTTTCCTTATCTGTCATCTTGTTTAAACACTTGATAACAGTACTATTTAAGAACTTGCTGTAATATTTTTTCTCATTTTTTGGGCTCAAAAATCATTTAATTTGGTTAGCAGCCCCGTAAATGAAGATATTTTCTCATTTATTCTTTTGTCTAATGATGGTGACAATGTGGTTGCCAAGACGTCACACACTAATAAATTATTTGAATTAGGTCTTATTTTCTTGTATTATAATCCAAATTGTGCTTTATCATCACTCTAATAAATTAACATGACACATTGGTGTACCATCTGTATTAAGGAATTCAAACTATTGTTTTTGTCAATAAAATAATTTCTACTGCGACGAATACAGCCCAGTGCAATATTATAGTGGTATGGTAGATTAACTGGCAAAGCTACTGGAAAGGTTTACCTCTGATGAGCCAGGCCTTCCCATTATTTTATCTTTGAACTAAGGACAGTAGAATATTATAAGGTACAATTTGGATTATAAAAACAAGGTAATAAGACCAAATAAATAGTATGTGACGTTTTGGTAACAGCATTGTAACCATCTTCAGACAAAAGTGCTGAATGAGAGAAAATATCACAGGAGGTTTTAAATTCACTTGATAACAGTAACTATTAAAAAAATACTGTGATATTTTTTCTCATTCAGCACTTGTGTCTGAAGATGGTAACAATGCTGTTACTGAAATGTCACTTACTATTTATTTGGATTTGGTCTTATCACATTGTGTTGACAGTAGAGAATTGATAAGGCACAATTTGGATTATAAACACAAGGTAATAAGATCAAAGAGGTAGGATTTGGTCTTATTATCTTGTGTTGACAGTAGAGAATTGATAAGGCACAATTTGGATTATAGATTATACACACAAGGTAATAAGACCAAAAAGAAAGGATTTGGTCTTATTATCTTGTGTTGACAGTAGAGAATTGATAAGGCACAATTTGGATTATAAACACAAGGTAATAAGACCAAAAAGGTAGGATTTGGTCTTATTATCTTGTGTTGACAGTAGAGAATTGATAAGGCACAATTTGGATTATAGATTATACACACAAGGTAATAAGACCAAAAAGAAAGGATTTGGTCTTATTATCTTGTGTTGACAGTAGAGAATTGATAAGGCACAATTTGGATTATAAACACAAGGTAATAAGACCAAAAAGGTAGGATTTGGCCTTATTATCTTGTGACAGTAGAGAATTTTGTTTTATTTTTAAAATAAGCCTATTTTAATTATTATAATGGCAAAAAAGGTCATTTTTGTCCAAATGTAGTCATTGTGTATAATTTTCTACTATAAAATTGTAATAAAAAATATATTTTTTTGTGTGTATAACTTTTATATTTATTTATTTCTATAAAACTATATAGCATAGATATTACAATATTTTACTTGACAAAGGTAACAAGACTAAATCCAAAATATTTTCAATAATTTGGATTTATTCTTTTGTTACCTTATGTTTCAAATCTATAATCCTAAATGTACTTTATCATTCCCCATAACATACGTTTAGTAAATTTTAGAATATAGTTGAACCTGTCTATAGCGCCCCCTCTAAATAGTGCCTTCCTCTCTATAGCGCCTGATTTTAATACGTAGTACGATGTGATTTACATTAAAAGTGACCTGTCTATAGCACCCTATTTTGGTGAGTCCCAAGAGGGGGCTCTATAGATGGTTTAACTGTATATATATATTTTATTTTTTTTAAAACATATATTTTATTTTTTCATTCATTGACTGTTCTGCACTTTTGACCATATATTCAAAAAAATATCACTTTTAATTATTATTGTTGTAAATATGTATATTTAACCCTACCTATCTTTTATCCACGATTATAGAATTCATTATATAAATTCTATATTCCTGTGATATAAATAATTTTATATATGTATATTTTTACTTCAAGAGATTCAAAATAAAAATCTGCTTGAAAGGTAAATAATTATTTTTATTTTTCCACGACTGCACCTCTTTTCAACAATCAAACACACAAAAAATTTCTAATCTATAACATATATATATATATATTTTTTAATTATCCCATTGTATAATTATACAAGGTCATGAAGACTATATTCATTGATCAAATTCACAATCCTGGTTAGTGGGGTCGGTGGAAAGATGGTCTAAACTGTTGGTTTTCAACTGCTACAACCCGGGTTCGATTCCTGCATTGGAAACTTTTTTTTCTGATTAAAAAAAATGCTCCAATGGGTTCCGATTCTTGTAAAAGTCCAACCCCTCAGCGAGTGCAAGTAACCAAACTCTGGCACATTTGAAATTGCAAAGTCTAATTACTTTTTAGATGTGTAGATATGTGGAGCACTTACAGTAAAAGCAGTTGCCTACTTCTACCCACCATGGTTATTATGGCATGTAACACGTGTACCAGTGATAAGCAAAAAACAATCTTGGTTAGGGTTGAATACAGGTCCTGTAATAAGTTCCCATGATGGGTAAAAAGAGCTGTTGTCGTAGGTTGACTATCCACCACACGAAGTTAGACTTTGTCCTCCCAATTTTACAATATGATATATGATACAATATAATGCAGCTTATGATTGTAGAACGAAATTTGACATTTATACCGCAAATGTTTCTTTTGAACAAAAAATTGTAATTTATTTAAAGGAGAGATAACGATTATTTCTAACCTTAGGGATGAAGGGTGAATTGTGAAGAGTAATGGTAAACGGAAAAATAAAGTGTCCAGGGATGGGAATCGAACTCGTAATGTTCCGCTTACTGGGCAGATGCCATGTCCACTAGGCTACCCCGAACATATTTTTCCGTTCGTAAATATTATTTAAAGAAATTTATAATACAATATAATGCAGCTTATGATTATAGAAGTTCTAGGTTAAGTTTTAGTTAAAAGAAACCAATTTTTATTATTTATCTATTTTAACACAAGGTAATAAGACAAAGTCGAAATAAATAGAATACAAATTGTGTGTGACGTTTCGGTAATGGCATTGTTACTATCTTCAGAAAAAAGTACTGAATGAGAAATTTCACCAATTGTGCCTTATCATTATCTATTTCAAATATATTTTTTCAAAATTATGTGTTGGAAAGCAAAATGTAGTATGAAAATTATACACAATGACTTTTTGTGTTTACATGAGGTTTAAAATCCACCCTAATGGAGTTTCAGAATGTTGTTATATTTATTCTGATAGATGGCCCAAGTTATCAGCAACTTTCATTTTAACTATCAGAAGTAACCCCTGATCACATGTATTTCAATTCTCTCTCTCTATATATATATATTTGCCAATTTAGACATGCCATTTTGTTTCACTTTTGTAAGGTAAACTGAAGTCTTAATCCTGATTAAAATTGATGACTAATTGAAATTTGTACATGTTTGAGTGAATAGCTTTTGCTTATCCCTAGTTCATGTGGTACAGACCATGATAATCATGGTGGGTAGAAGTTGGTGACTGCTTTTACAGTAAGTGGTGGTAATTTGGGGTCCATTGGAGTCTATAAAAATGATAAGGCACAATTATCAAGGCTATCTTGTTTACACATTTGATAACAGTAACTATTTAAAACATGCTGTTGTGTAATTTTTCATTCAGTACTTTTGTCTGAAGATGTAACAACACTATTATTGAAATGTCACACAATATTTATTTATCTGGATTTGGTCTGATTACCTTGTGTTTATGTGAAAAGCAGTTCGACATTGCACTTACAAAAGTACCAGAACCCTGTTTGGTTACTTGCACTCACTGGTGGGTTTGGACTTTTGCAAGAATCAGGGGCCACTGGCGCATTTTTTTTTAATCAGAAAAAAGTGCCCGTTGCGGGAATCAAACCCGGGTCGCAGCAGTCGAAAACCAACGTTTTAGACCATCCTACCCCTGAGTGAATGGCTAAATTGATCAAATAATTTGTGATGTTTTGATGACATAATTGTACATAAGTATTGAAACTACCTAATTTTTAAAATATATGAAATTTAAAAACACATTTATTATTATATAAAAAGGCCGTACCTGGATCTGTAAAGAAAAAAATTGTTTTTTAAATTTCTTTACAGATCCAGGTACGCCCCTTTTTATATAATCTTAATGGATCGCCTTTTGACTCAAAACATTTTTTATTTTTTTATTTATCAATCAACCAGTAATGATATTGAAATATTAGCACTTATTACAGAGGAAACAAACAAAACTTAGAATTAAATATTTACACGTATCAAGCAACAAAGTTCATAAAATTTAAATAAACAAAGTGTGTGTGTGATAAACACAAGGTAATAAGACCAAATAAATAAATAATGTGTGACATTTCGGTAACACAATTGTTGCCATCTATATTGTTACCAAAACATCGCACAATATTTATTTATTTGGAATTGGTCTTATTGTGTTTTAAATCTATAATCCAAATTGTACCTTATCATTTTAATAGTTTTTATTACGATAAAGCACAATTTGGATTTTAATACAAGAAATCATTTTTATTCCTTTGTCTGATGATGGTGACAATGCTGTTGCCGAAACGTCGCACACTAATAAATTGGATTAGGTCTTATTTTCTTGTATTAGTTTTTATTACTTTCAGATACAAAGCCTGGAGTAACACACAAGTCAAAGGACTTATAACTCAAGTAATAAAAACTATTAACATGATAAGCCACAATTTGAATTGTAGACTTTGAACACAAGGTAATAAGACCAAATAAATAAAGTGTGACGTTTCAGTAAGAGCATTGTTACTGAAACATTGCACTTTATCTATTTGGTCTTATTACCTTGTGTTTAAAATCTATTAAAGAAACTTACCCCCAGAAGGATCTTCAATTTGTATTTAATGTTATAACAACTGATGATAAGGCACAATTTGGATTATAAACATATGGTAATAAGACTAAATAAATAAATAGTGTGTGACATTTTGGTAACAACGCTGTTACCGAAATGTCACACACTGTTTATTTATTTGGTCTTATTACCTTGTGTTATAACAACCATAGGTGGTTATAAAAGATATCACAGTTATAACAAGGTTACACTCAGTGCTGTAGTAGATGTATACGGGGGTATACACCGTATACCCTATGCTTTTAAAATTTAGATAGCGTATACCTAGTGGTTTTACTTAAAAATAGCGTATACCCTATGATTTTGTTCAAATTTTTTATTAAAAATTTATTATTTTCTTTCTTTGTAATAGTAAAAAAAAAAATAATGATAATTGTACTGAAAAATTGCAAAAAATTTTCAAATTAACAATTCACACAAAATATTTCATTCATTTAGTAAAAATTTCTTGGGAAAAATATATCAACTATATTCAAATTAATAATCAAACAAGCCTCCTTTAACGAAAAACGGAAAACGAATATAACCGAACCTTTAATTTTTGAAAATGGTAATTTTGTTTAAAACCACAATGAAATGAAAACTTTAAAAACTTTCCTAATATTTAAAAGTTATTATGTTTGCTTAATAGAAAATATGTTAAAAAATTAAAATTTAAATAAAAATAAAGTTATATTTTCTGATGTTAAAATCATTTACAAAAAAAAGTAAAAACGACTTCTTCAAGATAGATGTTCTCTTATTACCAATGCTGTATTTATCCAGCAGTGATGTAAATCAATACATAAGCAATTTGGTTTTCGATTTAAAACAATTTTCTTCTAATTCTATACAATTGTAAATATATTTCAATTTTATCAAATACTCTTCTTTAACTAAAGTTGCTATGGTAACCATGCTAAACTACGTTATTGTGGACGTTAATTTTGCCTATTCTTTAGTTTATTTGAAGTTAGCAAAAGCTGTTGACAAAATAACATTGATTTTCAAAAAAATATAATTTTGAAAACTTCTTTAAGTAAGTTTATTGATACTGGTTTAAAAGCTTATTTAAATTGTTTTTAATTGTTGATGAAAAGTTGGTGTTTGTTTTTTAAAAAAATAAAGATTTTATTCAAAACAAATCGATTAAGTAAGTATCTAAATTTTGTTAATGTTAAAATAAGTGAAATTTTAAATTTTCTGTACTTATACTAGCTTTCGAAAATAACTCTTCTGTTTAATTATGGACCGCTGGTTGAAGACAGGAAATTTATGTACTAAAAGAAGTTTGGAGGTAGAAGAAGATGCAGAAAAGAATGAACTAGAAGAAGCTGTTAAAAGAAATAAAAACACTGTTGGTACATCAAATGCAAGTACTATCTCAAAAAGAGCTGATATATTGATCAATAGTTCACCAGAGAAAATGAATGACCAGGATTCCAAATTTGAAGTTTGAAATGATTCCCAATATATTCAATTTAAGGAAAAGTATCCACGGCTTTCAATTTCCAAAGGTAGACTCGGATGTAACATTTGCGCAAGTGTTAAAACTTTAGGGGCTGCAAAAAGTGAAAGAATTCATATTTCACCAGAATGGAGTAACTACCTAATAGAAGCAGCAGGAAAAGATCGGGCAAGCAAATTATCAAACATTCGAATGAAAATTAAAAAGCATTGTGAGTCTGAAGCTCATAAAATAGCTGAGAATATTAAGTAAGACAGAAAAAAAATAAATTAGAAGAATATGCAAACAATATGAACATTGAAGTAGAAAATGAAAATATTAAGCTTTTTAGAACTGCTTATAATATCGCTAAAACAAATAGACCATATTCTGATTATGAAAATCATATCACGTTACAAACATTAAATGGCATTAAATTAGGATCGACTCTTCACTCCAGATATTCTGCTACACAAATAATAAACCATATAGCCTGCGAAATGCGGAAAATGCTTGTTGCGAAGATTTTGTCAACAAATTCAAAAATTACTATACTAATTGATGAATCAACAACCTTAAGTAATAAATCAACTTTGGTCATTTTCTTGAAAGCATATTTAGGAGGAGAAAGTATTGATTATATTTTCTTTGATTTGTGTGAATTACAATGCCAAGACTCAGAAAATATTAAAAAAGAGCTTTTGAATACTTTGTATAAACATGGGTTGAACGAAGAATATTTAAAAGAAAATTGGATAGCAATTGCGACTGATGGGGCAAGTGTCATGGTAGGAAGACATTCGGGAGTCGTAACTCGACTTAAGCAAAAGTTTCCAAAACTTTTTGCATGGCACTGCCTCAACCATAGATTAGAGCTTTCTGTTGGCGATACTATCAAAGAAGTCCGCGGAATCAACCATTTTAAAGCTTTTATGGACAAACTGTATTCATTATATAGCCAATCTCCCAAAAATTGTCGTGCTCTGGAGGAAGCTTGCCATGAATTAGGAACAAGATTTGCTAAAGTGGGGTGAATTTTAGGAGTACGATGGATTTCAAGTAGTTTTAGAACAATAAAAACCGTCTGGGAGTCATACGAGTCATTGCACCATCATTTCAAATCATCAACATATCTCGATTCCGCATATCAAGGGTTATTAAGAAGATTGGAGAGTCCAGAATTTATATTAGATTTAGGTTTAATGTACGACACGCTTCAGGAAATGTCAATGTTGTCTTTAGAGCTGCAGTCTAGAACAACTACTTTACAAAAGGCAGAACATATAATAAAGAGAACAATTAGAGTCATAGAAAGCTTCAAAACATCACCAGGAGAAAAAAGCTTGCTAGCTCTTGAAGCGGCAGAAAACTTAGTTTTTAGGAGCGTAACATTAGTTCCAATGCCAAAATTATTCCGATTGATTGAAAAAAAATTCTTCTAAGTATAATAGAAAAGTTAAAATTAAGGTTGTGTACAGAATCAAATGAAGATAATGAGCAATTAATTAAGGATATT